TCTTAATAGTATAAGTTTGGCCTGTGATACTCCAATACTGAAATATGTAAGTGCCAAAACAAAAGCATTTTACATTTTCTAAACTCACAAATAGTTTTAGTCACTTAGATAATACCAACTTACCCATAATTTTGTAATATTTTAAATTAAAATTAAAATAAGTCTGCCCGAAATGCCTATCATGCTTGGGGTTCTAGGGGACACTTGTAATTATTATTTTATACATGTAAACCCAAAATAACCAAATTCTGTAAAAATCAGCATTGTAAACCTTTTAGAGAAAAAACTTTTATACAGAGAATCTTTTCCCCGATGGTAAAGCACCAAAAGTATGAAATTCAGTTGAAAACCACAAATTACGCTCCCCCAAAATTTTGTGGGCTCGGCGACATACGCCCGGCGATTTTGCCCAATTTGGATTGTTTTTTGGGCCCAAATTTCCATTGTTTCCAAATTGACCAAACTCTAGCTATTTCTTTTTGAAAATCCCTTTTTTCTTTCAGTATTAAAAATGCCCCTTTACATTTGAACTACCAATATGTGGTCAGAAATCGGCAATTTGGCCAATTTCATCAAAAATTTAACCCCTTTTAGGGTCAAAAGGGCCCCAAACTGAAGTGGTTGCCCTAGTGTCCAAGAATTTAAAAAAAAAAAAGTTTTTTTTTTTTCTTATGAAATGGGACAGAATCTTTTTGTGAAGGGAAAAAAAACAAAAAGTACGAAATTTGATGGAAAATTGACAAAAATTTTGCTCTCGCGAATTTGATGCTCAGCGATATTATAACCCGCGATTTTGCCGACTTTGACTCCATTTTTTGGGAATACATTATTCCAGTCAACCAAATTCTTAGCTTTTCACTAGTATTATTTATTCTTCGATTGAGCACAGAAATCGCCAAATTTAAATGTTTTAACTACAAATTAAAGTACGGAAATTGTTAATTTTGGGCCAAATTTAAAACCCAAAATTCAAAATATTCCAATTTCAAAATTTGGGGCCGAATAAAAAAATGTAGGTATTCCCTTTAACTAAAATAACTTTCCCTGTTATTAGTTAGTTTGGGTTTAAAGTAAATTCCATTTTTATTTTTTTTTCACATAAGGGTTTTTATTCGCACCAAAAAATGAAGATTTACTGTTTTCAATACTGTAATTTGTTAAAATCATCCATATTTGTGAATGCATATGAGACCCACCAGCTGGCATGTTTGGGCGTGTGAGGTTTTGTTTACTTTGAATATCGGCAAAAATTTTAAAATTTCTGCTACTTTGAGCTCAGTTTTCAAGCCATTTCCGTGCTAAAACCCAAACAAAAATTCTATTTCTGTAATATGTCTTCCATTCTATCAAATGAGACCAAGAAATCGCAAATAGAACTATAAAAAACATACGAAAAAACACTGCAAAGTCGCTGTTTTAATCGAAAAATCATGATTTCAGTTTTTTTTCTCATTATACACAGTGTGCTGCAGGATCTGTTTTATGTGGTGCACACATACCACATAGATGTATTCTCTCATATCTAGGCCCAAATGTACCACTCACAGTTTATCAGAGTGAGCTGAGCTCATGACGTAGATCTACGGTTTGGACCCTGAACGTAAAGCCGTAGATCTACGGGACGGACCCTCAAAGGGTTAAAAAAGATGCCAATTTCAAAATAGGGTCCAGAATAAACAATGTAGACATTCTTGGCACTAAAATAACATATCCTCTATTCATTAGTCATGTCTCTAGGTCCCTCTTACATTATTATTGCTTTCTATTTAGATTTTTTATTTATACAAAAAATACAAAATTTACTGTTATGCAGACTACTGCATTATTGTAAAAATGGTATAAATAATATCAGTGCACTAGTGAAAGAATATTAGACTCCCCAGTTGACGTGTATTGGACATGTGGTGTGATTTGCTTACTCCTGAACACTGGTAAAAATCGCACATTTCCGCTACTTTGAGCTCAATTTCAAGGTCGTTTTCATCGTGGAACTAATCAAAATCATCTCTATTTCTGTAATATGTTTTCCATTTTATCATGTGAGACCATGAAAATGAGAATACAATGATAAATACTATATGAAAATACACCTCAAAGTCGACATTTTAATCCAAAAAATGGTCAGTTTTCTCTTTCTCATTATGCACTGCGTGCTGCAGGATTTTTTTTTATGCTGTGCACACTGACCACACAGACCCATTCTCTCACACGTGGGCCTGCCAGCTTTCTCCTGCTTGATTTGAAGCCGCTAGAATTTATGCGTATTAGAATGTCCGAAACACTGGCTCGAAAGATGTATATATTTTTTTTTTCAACAAGTTGGCCGTCTCCCACCGAGGCAGGGTGTATATATACAACCAAAACAGTCAAAGGGTTAATATACAAAAATGATAATTTTGGCACTGAAGTTGAGGTTTCGGTAGATACACGTAAATAATTTCCACTGTATGGTCAGAGTCTGTTTGAGCCCAGAACATAAGAACATAAGAACATAAGAATGTAGGAACACTGCAGAAGGCCTACTGGCCCATACGAGGCAGGTCCTTATCAAAACGACATCTACCTAAAGCTACTCAAGAAATAACTCCCGTACCCCTTGACACCAATCAAACCCAGCCCCTCCCACTCATATATTTGTCCAGTCTCTTCTTAAAGCTACCCAAGGTCCTAGCCTCTATCAACCCACTGGGAAGACTGTTCCACGCATCTACAACTCTGTTAGAAAACCAGTACTTACCTATGTCCTTTCTAAATCTAAATTTATCCAACTTAAATCCATTATTCCTGGTTCTTACCTGGTTCGACACCCTCAGTACTTTATTAATGTCTCCCTTGTTTATGCCCGTCATCCACTTATACACTTCAATGATATCTCCCCTTATTCTACGCCTCTCCAGAGAGTGGAGATTTAAGGCTTTAAGGATGGGAATAAGGTATTTAGAGCAATCAAATTAATGTTGATGAAGAGAAGAAAGCAGTAATTTCATGCATTTGCCAGGGAGGTATAACATCATTTAGGAGTGAAGATGAGCCAATTGTGAGTGTGGGGGAGGTGCATGAGGCATTTGGTAGAATGAAAGGGGGGGTAAAGCAGTTGGAACTGATGGGATCATCACAGAAATGTTAAAAGCAGGGGGGATTTAGTGTTGGAGTGGTTGGTACTTTTGTTCAATAAATGTTTGAAAGAGGGTAAGGTACCCAGGGACTGCAGAGAGCATGTATAATTCCTTTATACAAGGGAAAGGGGGACAAGACAGATCATAAAAATTACATGGGAATTAGTTTACTGGGAGCAAGGGGCTAGCAACCCCTTCTCCTGTATACATTACTAAAGTTAAAAAGAGAAACTTTTGTTTTTCTTTTTAGGCCACTCGACCTCGGTGGGATATGGCCAGTTTGTTGAAAGAAGTTTACTGAGTATACCAGGTAAAGTGTATGGTAGGGTTATTATTGAAAAAATTAGAAGTAAGACAGAGAGCAGGATTGTAGATGAAGAAGGAAGCTTTAGAATGGGTAAGCGATGTGTAGATCAAGTGTTTACGTTGAAGCATATAAGTGAACAATATTTAGATAAAGGTAGGGATGTTTTCATTGCATTTATGGATTTAGAAAAGGCATATGAGAGGGTGGATAGGAAAGCAATGTGGCAGATGTTGGAAGTGTATGGAATAGGTAGTAAGTTACTAAATGCTTAGGTTATGGTGTGTAGGAGAGGGGGAGATTACTTCCCAGTAAAAGTATGTCTTAGACAGGGATGTGTAATGTCACCAAAGTTGTTTAACATATTTATACATGGGGTTGTAAAAGAAGTAAATGGAGGGAGGGAGTATGGAACAAGTGAATGTGTTCAGATATTTGGAGTAGATTTGTCAGTAGATGGGTTTATGAAGGATGAGGTTAACCATAGAATTAATGAAGAAAAAAAAGTGAGTGGTGAACTGAGGTACCTATGAAGATAAAAAAAATGTTATCCATTGAGGCAAAGAAGGGAATATAAGAGAGTATAGTGGTACTAACACTCTTATATGGGTGTGAAGCTTGAGTTGTAAATACTGCAGGAAGGAGGAGGATGGAGGCAGTGGAAATGTCATGTCTAAGGGCAATGTGTGGTGTAAATATTATGCAGAGAATTTTTAGTGTGAAAATTAGGAGGTGCGGAGTTACAAAAAGTATTATTCAGAGGGCTGAAGAGGGGTCATTGAGGTGGTTTGGTCATTTAGAGAGGATGGAGCAAAATAGAATGACCTGGAGGGTTTGTAAATCTGTAGTGGAGGGGAGGAGGGGTAGGGGTTATCCTAGGAAAGGACAAAGGGAGGGGCATACAAGAGGTTTTGTGTGCAAGTGGCCTGGACATGCAGAAGGCATGTGTGAGCATGTTAGATAGGAGTAAATGGAGACAAATGGTTTTTGGGACCTAATGAGCTGTTGGAGTGTGAGCAGAGTAATATTTTGTTTAAAGATTCAGGGAAACCAGTTAGCTGGACTTGAGTCCTGGAGGTGGGAAGTACAATGCCTGCACTTTAATGGAGGGGTTTGGGATATTGGTTTTTTGGAGTGACATCTAAATTGTCATATTTGGCACCTCTGCAAAGACAGTGATTATGTGTGAATGACAGTGAAAGTGTTTCTTACTTTTTTGGGCCACCCTGCTTAGGTGGGAGATGGCTGGCGTGTTGAAAAAAATTGACTTTTAAGCACGTCTAGAGGTTTTACAACAATATTCTACCCATCATTATTTCCAATAAGCTGTTTACTTTCAAAATACAGTGAAAGTTTATATATTTTCAATGGTCAAAGTTTTGGTCTAGTTAACCTCTATATTTTGAGAGGCGAAGAGGGGGTTTAATCATAAGCTAAATAAATTTCAGAAGATTACACAATCAACTCTTGCTAATTGCCATCTGAGTGGAATAAGAGAAAGAATACAGTGTGCTTGTAAACAATTGTGAATTTAGCTGTACAGTCTAATGATAAGCAATGTAAACCTCTGCAAAGCTTACCCACGAGCACCTAGCCCCATACCAAGACGCTCTGCCTGTTGTGCTTTCTTGGGATCAACTCTCTTCATTCTCTCCTCTTCACGCTTGCCAGCCAAACTCATGTCTTCATAAACACGTTCTAAATTCTGTAACTGTAAGTGGAAAGCCATATTAACAGTGGTGTGTATTTGTATTTGCTTCATCTTTATCTATCATCATACAGGCATGCCTCGCTAATATGGCAGGTTAGGTTCCAGAACACCACCCTAAAGCAAGTATCTCCAAGCGAATCACAGCCAATTTTTCACTTACAAGCAAATATTAAAGCCTAAAAACATGTTTACCCTATTATTTGTTAAGTGCACAATAGTGCTGGGACTAAAAAATAAGGATGTAAAAATAACAAATAAAAAATGCTACAGTACTGTATTGCTAACCTGATGTGAGCACCACCACCAAAAATAATAAATGTGAATATAATTGAAAAGCACTGTATTAGTGAGGAATGCCTCTATACCATACTTACAAATAACTTTTTCACTAGGCATTAAAGCCCCTAAGAACATGAAGCTGTTCACAATTTACTTTAGACCAAAATTAGAATATGCAGTGGTAGTGTGATGTCCTTGCCTATAAAGAATCATTTTCACAAAAGTTTAGGCAAAAACCTTTCAAACATTCTTCATGGCAAATGTTTAGACGCAAGTTGTAATATCCCTTACCTTCATCATAAATATTGCAAGTCTTACCGATTGTTGCTGTTCTTCCTTGGACAGCTCTTTGGCCTCTAGTTTCAGTTGGTCATTACGAGCTGCTTCCTTTTCAATTGCACTGAAGTCTTTTTTTACTCTCTGTGCACCAAGTCCTCCAGCTTTCTTAGCTCCTAACTGTGATAAACAGGTTATATAAATTAAACTATTTTTCTTTTCATACTGGTAGTAAATTTGTTGGCTTACATCCACACAAACAAATACAGTAAAATGCAAAATAACTTGCCTAATTATAGGAAAAATTTAAGAAAAAAGATCCTTACACTGAATATTATGACATACCTCAAACTGTACCTGATTCACCAGCTAATTACTTGCTTTCCCGAAGTATCAGTTGTCTATTAGTTACACTGCACTGTACTTTATGTACCAACACAAACTTTCAATTCCTAATTTCTTTTTTAAAGAACATGGTGTATGCAAATGACCCTCATACACAGGAAGAGCTACAGGTCAACATACAGCATACAGTAGAAGGCATATCAAGAATTCACTTATGTGAAAACCTTAATGATCAACACATGTAACTATTATTGTAATTTACTTATAAACAAGCAATCTCCATGGGGTCACTTTTTGAACATCCTGTATTACTATATTATTCTTTTGAAATCCAAAAAATATCATGTAATCACAGTCCAGAGCTCTTCAAATAATGCTTACAAAACCACAGCTGCCTTATTAGGTAAATATATTTACTTAATTGTTACTTTATTTGTATTACTAAAAACAGTACTTTAATATCATTTACCAAACTCCTCAACATCAGAATGTCAGAAACTCAGTTAAAAAAGGGAGGAAGTTAACAAATAAAACACAAGAAAAAATATATATATATATACTGGTGCATAACATTCACATCAGGCCACACTAAAACTCACTCACGAGTGCATGGATATTAAAAACAGTCTTGGTAAACTGCACAAATGTTCAGTTTGAAAAAAGTTCTCCTTGTCTGATTTATGATGTAATACTTATAACAAATGTGCAATAACCCCTTAGCTGGTCTGATGAAAACGTTTATGCAGTCAAAAGTTAACATGAACAATGTGCTACTCTGTGCTATGAAGAGCACTTAGAGCAAGAGCTTAATTACACTGGTATTGCATTTACCATAAATAAATGACCTCTTAACTCTTTCATTGTCGGTCCCGTTGTATCACAGCTTTGAAAAGCCAGTATCGGTCCTGTAGTATGACGCCATGAACTCGGCTCACTCAGGTAAGCTGCGAGCGGTAAATTTAGATAAGTGTGCACCATATAAGAAAATCTTGCAGCATGCAGTGCACGAGAAAAAAATTGCAACCATGTTCTTGGTTTAATACAGTAACTTTGCTGTGCATTTTTGCATGGATTTTATGGTTGTATTCTCAGTTTCTTGGTCTTATTTGATAGGATGGATGATATATTACAGAAACAGAGATGATTTTTATTAGTTTCAGGACAGAAAATACCTTGAAATTGAGCTCAAAGTAACAGAACTGTTCAGTTTTTGCTGATACTCCAGAGTACGTTTGTCCAGTACACGTTTCGTACCTTTGAGTTCGTTACCTTCAGAAAAATTTTCTATATCATTTCATAATTTTTTTTTTTTTTTAAATTCTTTGACACCGATAGCAAATTTGAGAGCAGGGGACTCGACAGTGAAAGGGTTAATGACAGAACAGCTAAGAGGTAAAGACTCACCACCAGTGGCTTCATAAAAATTATACTCAAAAGCATGATTGTATCTGAACTATATCTCAAGGAAATGAGGAAAGAGAAAAAGAAAATCTAAAAAGAAATATGAAAGTTATCAGACACACATGGTACTGAGCAAACTTAATGAAGTCATGATAAACCTCTACCCCCAAGCAAGACGTAGTCTATAATAAAGGCATGTTCTGCAGTAAATGCTAATATCTGCCATCCTTTATTAAAGAATAGTAGCAATACTCTGCAAGCATATAACACAAGCAGCGAACAATGATCTTGCTACTGCATATCAGTATATCCATCACACACACTCCCCACCTCTTTATTCAGAGATGAGCCAGAAGATTCTTCCTGTACACAGAAATTCTAAGTTAAACTTTATTCACAACAAATACAAAATTCTTGTCAAGGATGAATCAATCACTGAGAATACTGAAATTATTACCACATTCCATACTCAAAAGACAAATCACTAGTGTGCTTGTCATAAATGGCAGAGCCTTTCTTGAATTATACAGCATTCAGGAGAAAGATTCATGAATTTCTTGTCAAGCATCTTCCAAAATATTGCATCAAAAGTTCTAAAATTTGGGCAACTAATTAAAGATCCCTCATCAGGAATATAAAATTAGATAAGGAATATTTAGCTAGTAGTTGCATCTCAGATTATAATACAGGTATCTATGGAAAAAATGGTAGGTTTTGAATTCCATGCAAACATGACATCCATATGATTACCATTATTGGAAAGATGTACTTTGCATCCCCACTTAGGTTCATTTGTTTCTGATAACTGTTTGCAAGTCAACTGCATGGAATTCAAAACCTACCATTTTTTCCCCAATGATAACTGTACAGTGGACCCTCGGTTGTTGGTCATTCCGCTTATCAGCCAACTCAGTTATCAGCCGTTTTTTTGGCTCCTGGTCATCGGCTGTTATTTCGCTTATCGGCCGTTATTTCGCTTATCGGCCATCAATTTGCTTATCGGCTATATGGTACACATCAACCTGCCGCTGCCAGCTGTGAGCGCGTCAGTCTGGCTTTGTCTCTGGGCGAGTGGAGGAAGCTTCTGCTCATTTATCCAAACATTTCACTATAATTTATTGATTTTCATGGTTATTGATTAAGTGCAACTGGAAAATAATCAACCATGGCCCCAAAGAAAGCTCCCAGTAAAGTTCCTTTGATAAAGAAAGTGAGAAACATGAAGGAATTTAAGAAAGAAGTTGTTGAAAAGTATGAGAGTGGTGTTCGAGTGCTAGAACTTGCCAGGATGTATGGGAAAAACAAATGAACAATCACTTCTATCTTGGCAAAGAAAGAACAAATCAAGGAAGCTGATGTAGCAAAAGGAGTAAATGTGCTAACCAAACAAAGGTCACTGATAATGGAAGATATGGAGAAGTTGTTGGTTTTGTGAATCACTGAAAAACAATCAGCGGGAGTTGATGATTTGTGAGAAGCCAAGGCAGTTGCATGCGGATCTTGTAAAGAAAATGCCTGGAACAAGTGCTGCTGTTAGTGAATTTAGGGCCAGCAAAGGCTGGTTTGAGAGATTTAAGAAGCATAGTAGCATACACAGTGTGGTAAGGCATGGGGAGGCTGCATGTTCTGACAAATGTGCGGCTGAAAAATTTGTGCAGGAATTCAAAGGGTACGTAGAGGCTGAAGGATTCCTCTCCCAACAAGTAATCAGTTGTGACGAAACAGGCCTCTTTTGGAAGAAAATGCCAAATAGGACCTACATTATGAAGGAGGAAAAAGCACTGCCAGGACACAAGCATATGAAAGACAGGTTTACTTTTTTGTTCTGTGCTAATGCTAGTTGGGATTTCAGAGTGAAATCTTTACTGGTGTATCACTGAAAATTCCAGTGTGTTCAAGAAAAGAATGTCATCAAGAATAGATTGTGTGATGTGGAAAGCTCATCATAAGGCATGGGTCACAAGGCACATTTTCAAAGAGTGGGTTAATGATGTGTTTGGCCCCAGTATGAAAAATACCTCCTGGAAAAGAAATTGCCACTTAAGTGCCTTTTGGTACTGGACAATGCTCCTGCTCATTCTCCAGACTTGGAAGACAAACTGTTTAGGGACTTTCATTTTATAATTGAAGTTCTTGCCTCCTAACACCATTCCTCTCTTCCAGCCCATGGACCAGCAGGTCATTTCTAACTTCAAAAAAAAAAAAAAAAAAAAAACTACACAAAACCAGTGTTTCAAAGGTGCTTTGAAGTGACCTTGGACACTCATTTGACCATAAGACAGTTCTGGAGGAATCACTTCAGTATCTTCCATTCCATAAGCTTTATAAGTAGGGTTTGGCAGAGTGTGACTTCCAGGATTTTGAATTCTGCATGGAGAAAAATGTGGCCAGATTGTGTCCAAGAGAAGGATTTTGAAGGGTTTAGGGCTGACCCTGAGGACCCTACGCCTGTTGTGCAATCTACTGTGGCACTGGGGAAGTCCATGGGGTTGAATTTGAGTGTCGAGGATGTGGAAGAGTTGGTGGAGAACAACAGGGAAGAACTAACCACTGAAGTGCTGCAAGACCTTCAACTGGAACAGCAACAGATTGCAGTTTTGTTGAAAAGTATCACCCTGACCAAGCTGAAACAGGCCATATCTGCAACACTTTCAGTGACAAAACCTTGTCCCACTTCAGGGAAATCTTAGACGCCAAAAACAGAGCACTCTTGACAGTTATTTTGTGCGACAGGGGTGCAGCAACTCTCAAGCTTGTCCTAGTGGCATTAAAAGACAAAGAACGGAAGCAACCCCAGAGAGGGACTTGTTACCTGAAGTCCTTATGGAGGGGGATTCCCCTTCCAAACAATAACCCCAACTCCCTCTCTCCTCCTGCAAAAACCCCTTCCAGTTATAAACATCTACAGAGTACCACAGTCAAACATTTACCATTTTAGTGAAAAATGATGAAACTTGACAACTGACGCACATATGAACAAAGACCACCTGCTGCTAACAGCAGATTTCAACATAAATCTACTACATGATCAGGACCCACAAGTAACTGAATTTACGAACACTATGAACAACTGCTTGTTGCTACCAACAATATCAAAACCTACAAGAATCTCTGAGACTAGTATCTCTTTATTAGACCACATCTGGACTAACACCATATCCCCTTTAAAATCAGGCATAATCACAGACAACACCACAGACCACTACCCTACCTTTCTCATAACCAACCTAGGTAAATTGCCCCAAGACACTACTAAAGTTACCTTCAGACTACATAGCGAGACAGCTGTTAATACCTTTATAACAACTATGAATAAAGTTGACTGGCATAATGAGCTTGAAACATATACAGACATGAATAAATATACAGTGGAACCTCGACTTATGAGTGTCCCAAAGTACAAGTTTTTTGAGATACGAGCTGTCCCTGGGTCG